CGGTGGMCGGAGGCCGGAGAACGGTGGTCGGAGAGAGAAGAGAGGAGAGAGGAGAGTTTTAAAATACCAAAAATATCCTTGCATTAAGATTTTAATTTAAAATTACCAAATTTATAAATTTCCTAATTTTTCTATTGATTTGTGGTTAATATTGGTTCTCACAGTTACCACAAACAACTCAGTTCTCCCTTGAATAGGCCCCTATATATATATATATATATATATATATATATATATATATCTTAACAAAGGGGGTGAGGATTTGGATTTATTAACATAAAACTTACAGACATTGAAAACTTATTATAAAAATTTTCCTTTCTTAACCACGAAGGTTGCCTATTTTCTTATTTTAATCATTTCCTTTCCTACATGCATATTATCCTATGCACACACACATATAATTAACATCTTCTCATGTATGTATAGAATCACCTTCTCATGTATATACGATCCATGCACTTTCTTAAGTAAACATGCATGTTATCACATATTTCACAAAATAACGACATAAATGTTACCTCAACCAATGTTGTCTGAAATCTAGGTCATCACATACTAAAAACTTAAAATTAATACACTAAAAAAGTAAAAATAATCAAATAGCGCCTTACAAAAATCGCGCATTAGACCATGTCATGCCATGAGTTTAGATGCGTCACAACGAATGCCATAACAAGTCTTTTAGAGCATCTTCAACAACTATAATATAATTTATATATAATAGAGTATTTAAAACCAAAGTCTCTAAACACAAATTATATCCAATTCCAACATCTATATTATTTTAGCAATTCCAACATTAATTATATTATAAAAATATTATATAAATTCGTCATCAGAATACATTTTTAAAAAAACTTTATAAAAAATTATAATACAATTAATCTCATTAGTGAAAACAATTACAGTAATATATATCTCTTCTTGATATTAAGATATAATGATTCTCTAAATTATCATCTTAAAACACTTGCTTTAATAAAATTTATCCCAAATAAAAACATGGAATGTGAGGGAAAGTAGAAGGAAGTCATATTTAGGGGTGTTTGGGATTGTTTATTTGAAACAACTTATATTTTTCTATAAAAGTGTTTATCAACTTATAATAAGTTATAAAAGTTTAACTTCTTTAAAAACTTTTTATTACCGGTTTAACACCGGTATAAGTTGTTTATTTAAACATTCAAAAATGTTTATTATCGATGTCATACCAGAATAAGTCAATAAGTTATTTGTAGAAACAATCCCGAACACATTGGGTGTGACAACCCTAATGATTTGTATTTATGCTATAATTTTTTTTAAATAAAATATTAGAAGTTAAAATTAAAAAAAATTACATTCAACTTTAAAAACCATTTTATTTTAGCAATTTTATCGTTAATTATATTATTAAAATATTTAATATAATTAATAAAATATTATTTTTCTCTCTCAAATATTTAATTTCAATGCCTTAGTTAGAGACAAAAAATTAAATATTATTTTCTATGTTTTCAATATAAAGTTTTAAAGATTTTCTAAATTTAAAGATGTTTACTGTTTTTTTATTTTAACATATAAAATAGCATAGTTGTTTGTAGGAATGTTCATGGGTTGGGTTGATCAGGTTGAAGACATTTGAACAATACAACTCAATGCTTGCGGTTTAAAAAAAATCTTAACCCAACCCAAACCAAAGTACAACCCAACCCAACCCAACCCGTATGGGTTGGTTGGGTTAGTCGGGTTGATACTTTGGTACATTAAAATGTTCTTATAACCTTGAATATGTTATTTCTCTACTCATAATTTTTTTCCATCATCAATCATTTGATACAAATTATCTATATTTCTTATGTATATCACACTCAGTTAATCTTCTCAATTTACATATATATGTTCACAGTTACTGAACATATATACGAATGAGTTATATAGATATGTGAATAGATTGAAAATATGTGTATATGAAAAGCATACATGATAGTGTAAATGTCTATTGTATATATTAATAGAAATTCAACAATCATATTAAATCCAATAAATAAAAGAATATCAGGTTCATCGGGTTAGGTTGGGTTCAAATAATAGTAACTCAATATCAATCCAATACCTATGGTTTGATAATTTTACAACTCGATTAAACATCGGGTTGCTTCGAGTTGAGTTATTTCATATTAGATTGAGTTGGATTGGTGGGATTGGTCGGGTTTTTGAGCACCCCTAGTTGTTTGTATTATTATTTTTATTTGTTAAAATACCACATTTCTCCATTTTAACTAAACGACTAATATCAAATGTTAAAGGGCAGAAAAGAATGTTGAGACTTACAGGTGGCGATACAAGTCGAGTCACATCTCTTTCTTTCTCAATTCGATTACTAGTTGGAAGGAGTAACTTCACTCACCAACCTACTCGCTGTTTCATTTTGTTCCTCAAGTCAATTGTTTACCAATAGATTCCAGATTTTGCTATCTTTTTCCATTGCTAAATTTCTTGGTTTTGCATATTACCCTGTGAATTCTCACTATCTTCAGCATTGGGGTCAGGTTATAGTTAATGATGCATTGAGTTCTGGTCATCTGGTGTCAATTTAGATGATACACACTGGGTTTGGCATCTTTTTACTCTCTATGGAGCTTCTATGACCTTCTCATTGCATTCCTTCATTGGGTATTGTCGTGACCCTTGTCGCTATTGCTCTCTCTTTTTGTTATAATGGTACTTCTCAATTTTTGGTAGCTTCATTTGCTTGAGTTGAAATGGGTTTGTTGAATTGCCTTTAATTTATGAATTTGTAGTTGGGTGTTTGATTAAGACGAAATGCAGTCCATCTGTTTGATGATATTGCTAATTGTTAAATTGGTAGTAGGGACGACAGAATTGGATTCACTTTTGGAGGTGAAAAGGGGTATCCAGGAAGATTCTTCTGGGAAAGTTTTGGGTTCATGGGATCCCAAGTCCTTGGCATCAAATGGCTGCCCCCTTGATTGGTATGGCATTACTTGTAGCAGTGGTCATGTGACATCTTTAATGCTTAATGGTTTAGGTCTAGTTGGAAACTTTACCTTTTCTTCGATTACAGGCCTTAAAATGCTACGTAATTTATCCATATCTACCAACCGTTTCGAAGGGACCATTTCAAATGTGGTTGGTTCCCTTTCTTCGTTGGAATATTTGGATATCTCTTCGAATTTGTTTCATGGGCCATTGCCTTCTGAAATTACAAATATAAGAAGGCTGGTGCACTTGAATCTTTCTTTGAACAATCTTGAAGGCACTGTTCCGTCAACTTTTGGGAATCTCAAACAGCTGAAGCATCTGGATTTGCATTCTAATAACTTTTCTGGGAAGATTATGAGCTTCTTGTCACAGTTAGGTAGTGTGGCTTACTTTGATCTTAGCAGCAATGGTTTCACTGGAACTCTGGACTTGGGACTAGGATCGGACGAATTTGTTTCTGCGATTGAGTACTTAAATGTAAGCCACAACAACCTTGGTGGATATCTCTTCTCCCATGATGGAATGCCTTATTTTGATAATTTGGAAGTGTTTGATGCAAGTAATAATCAGTTTGTGGGTACTGTTCCTTCTTTTAATTTTATGGTGTCTTTGAGGATTCTAAGGCTCGGTAGCAACAAGTTATCAGGGTCCTTACCAGAAGCTCTTTTGCAAGAGAGCTCGATGAGCTTGTCAGAACTGGATCTCAGCCTTAACGAGCTTAAAGGTATGTTGATTCCAGTGCTAATTCGATTTGCTATTTGTTTTATACATATATATGTAGTAAAAAATTATGTAAACATGTAATGCATGATGAAAAGAGAAAATATCATATGCTTGGATGCTAGCAGTAGTTCCTCTTTAATTTTGAGTTCTTTGTTTTCTGTTTTACATTTCTTATTGATTCACTAAAGATTACTTATTTTTTCAGTAATGTAAAATTTTCAATATTTGAATGTCAATTGTTGATTTGAAATGCATTCATCAAATTCTTAAATAAACTTAAAGTGACACCTAATCATGATAATCAAAACACCTATCAGGACCACTGACAAGCAAAAACACCTGTGGAATATCATAATTTGCTAGTGTGAATCTGGTTTTCTGATCCTCCTCCGTTGAACTCATGGGGTGTTGTACAAAACTCAAGGGACATCTATACAACCGAATGATGTCAAAATTCTCTCCTCCGATGATAAAATTACACAAGATAATTGGACATGGTGGAAAGTGCCACACTTTCTTATGTTGGCCCTTTATTTGCGCATATTTACCTGATGCATCACTTCTACTACCAATGTTGTTCACCCTCACTACTGCCATATAAATATTGCAACGTCTAGGAAAAACATGGGCAAACACTGATGCCAACATAGCCAATACTCAAGTACTATAAACATGCAGAGTGGTTAATCCGATATGCATATAAAACCTAGACTGAGAGTTGGTTAAACCTGATGCTATGGATGATGTAATTAGTGTAGGGTGGTATTCCCACTTGATAATGATATTGTTCAAAGTGCTAAATGAGAGTATATAAGCAGTTTTTGGCAAATGAAATGTAAGTTAGGTCCCGCAACAAGTTCTTAATATTCTATTAGATTTAAAAAGAAAATGACTAATACACACCCATCTCTATGAGGAAGCTCAAATTCACAACTTAAAGGTTTTAGAGCCTCGCTTGTACAGAAATTAAGAATATGATGCCATTCTAGCTGCTAAAGTGATTTATTGCCACATAAAAGTAGTTTGATTTTTTTTTTCCTTCTGTAGTTATATGAACTATTGTTTTTTACAGGTCCAGTGGACAGTATCTCCTCTACAACTCTGAGGAATCTTAACTTGTCATTCAACAAGCTTACAGGCATCTTGCCTCTTAACATTGGTCACTGTGCCATCATAGATTTAAGTAGCAATTTGCTCTCTGGGAACTTGTCCAGAATTCAAGGTTGGGGAAACTATGTTGAGGAGATTAATCTCAGTTCAAATTTGTTAACAGGAACTTTTCCAATCCAAACTTCTCAGTTCTTGAGGCTTACTTCGTTCAAAATCTCCAACAACTCAATTGGCGGTGTTCTTGCTCCGGTTTTAGCTACCTACCCAGAACTAAACACCATTGATTTTAGCTGCAATCAGTTCAGTGGTACACTCCTGCCTAGTCTTTTTAACTCAACGAGATTGATTTATCTAAACATGTCTTTCAACAATTTGAGTGGGACCATACCCATCCAAAAAAATAGCTCTTTACTCGAATCTTCTAAAATTTTGAGCCTTGAGTTTCTGGATTTATCATATAATTCTCTATCTGATCATCTTCCTAGAGAAATTGGAAATTATCATGATTTGGCATTTCTCGACCTATCTAACAATCATTTCGAAGGTGGCATCCCTGATACTCTTCCTGGTGCACTTAAGGTATTCAATGTGTCCTATAACAATCTCTCTGGACTTGTACCTGAAAACTTGAGGAATTTCCCTGATTCAGCTTTCCATCCAGGAAATGACTTGCTGAGTTTCCCATATTCAGCATCTTCACCACAAGGTCTTCCGAACCTGATGGGTCATAATTCTCCGAAAAGATCGTATATTAAGCCTGTCCTTATTGCTGCGCTGATTGGTGGTGTTTCTAGTTTAGGTTTATTGACATTCATTGTATGCTACAGAACCCACCGCCAGTATGAGAGGAACCACACTAAGAAACATAGTGAAAAACTAGGGAATCAACGAGAAGCCTCTTCGGTTCTTGCCACATCAGCACCTAACAAAGATGTTAGTTTCCAAGAAGATCATAATTCATCTCCACAATTCAGAACTACTGGTGATCATTTGGAGAATATATTGGTTGTCAAAGGGCCAAAAGATCTTGGAGCAAAGAGAAAAGCTGAAGAAGCATTTCCTCCTGTTCCTCTTATGTCACCTGGAAATCCTTCGTCCTCAAATACCCCCCACAGAGAGATGCCACCTGGACCCATTGAGGTTTGTTCTCCAGACAAACTAGTTGGGGAACTTCATCTTTTTCATAGCTCATTGGTGTTCAGTGCAGAAGAACTTTCACTGGCCCCTGCAGAAATGATTGGCCGCAGTTGTCATGGAACACTATATAAAGCTGTACTTCAATCCGGTGAGGTTTTGGCAGTGAAATGGTTGAAGGAAGGGATTGCAAAAGGGAGGAAAGAATTTGCAAGAGAAGTGATGAAGCTTGGTAGCATCAGACACCCAAATCTGGTATCCCTGCAGGGTTACTACTGGGGCGCAAAGGAGTATGAGAGGATGCTTATATCAAATTATATCGATTCACCTTGTTTATCTCTCTATCTTAATGGTAAGCTTTCTTCAGAATTATACCTTAATCTCAGTTGTTGTTCTTCATGTTTAGTTATATTTAGCATCACGTACAGAAGTCAAGTTGTAGACTTAATCACTAATTCATCAGTTTATTGTTGAAATCTGACAATCATTAAGCTGTTGTTACAACCCATACATATATGAGCTTCACTTTCTCTTACTATACATGAATCTATGAGATAGCCGATCATAGCATGCAATAGAGTAATGCGAAAGTTACCCCCTTCCAACTACTCCTTTTTAAAACAATACAGAGTAAAGTGAGTGATCTTTAGTACTATATGTAAGCAGAGTTCTAAATCCGGTGCTTATAAGCATTCCCCACCACTTCAAAAAGTTGGTGCCGCTTCATAGGCTGCCTAAGAGTTGAGCATACCCTATCTCTTTGATTGGCAACTAATTCGTTGAATTATATGTTTTCAGAAAATTTAGGGATTAAATGACTTCTTTCTAATTAATTGTATCAGCAGAAAAAATGAGACTAGTCATATAGCAAGTAACTGTATCAAAATAATATGTCACCAAAACTTGGTCTCAAATTTTTCCACAATCTTAAGATGATTATATCACAAAATTTTATTCTTCCGCTTGAGTATATGCTTAATCTCCACTTGAGCAATTAGGTGCTAGATCCTAGAATGTCATTAAGGGGGTGTTTGTGGTTGCTTATTTAAAATAACTTATGCTTTTCCTTAAGTGTGCTTATCAACTTATGTGGTGTTAAATCGCATTTTTATAAAAAGTGTTTGGATTAGCTTAAGCGGTACCAAAACGTAATAAGCTGATAAGTATTTCTGTTTTTTTCCATCCAAACATTAAAAAACTCCTTATTACCGGTACCATACCGGAATAAGTTAATAAGTTAGAAGGGAGTAACTTATCAAAAACTCCTATAATTACCGGTGCCAAACCAGTATAAGTATTTCTTTTTCTTTTCCATCCAGACACTAAAAACTCCTTATTACCGGTACCATACCAGAATAAGTTAATAAGCACTTTAAATAACAATCCCGAACATCCCCTAAATCACCGTCCTCTAAAACACTTCTGGGAAGCCATACCTTGTCTTACCTCAACCCCGATTACCATCTTCCAGTGTTGTATCTTCTTGGTGTTCCCTTTTTTTTTCTTTTCGCCTTCTTTAGATGAATTAAATGTTGACGTTGTTGTGATTTTAATTCTACTTAGGGGCCGTCTAATAAACGCCTAACCAGTAAGCACTTACTGGGTCCTTTTATCTTACTAGATGAACATTGCAAGGACCAATAATCTTACCGGTAAGAGCGATGACAAGAGTCGAGAGTCTTACTCGGTAAGTGAGGGTGACGACTCTTATTCGGTTAGAAATTACCGAATATATTGTTGCATACAATGCCTTTTTAATGGATTAGAATCTTACCCGGTAAGGTGAGTGAGAGTGTTGACTTTTACCGAATATAGCACCTTAGTCTGCTTAAATTAGTTCAAATTATGGAAGAATTTTTTTTATAATGTTTTATCTTTTTTTCCTTCTATAGCCGTGATTTATCTTTTACTTTAGATTTTTAGCCACCACATCTAGTCTCTAGTTTCTTATTGATATAGTTAGACCAAATTTTCATCTATTTTATACTCAATTCATTACTGATTATCCCCCCTGTACTTGGGGTCAACAATATAGGGATATGGTTATGTTAATACAACTATCATTCCCAAAAATTACGGGATGACCCAATAACTTCGGATTCAACTTAAAACCATGGGGGAAGTTATTGGGAGCAGGTAGCCCACAACTTGAAGCTTATAAGGAGTTTTCAAATCCTATTGTCTATCCATGTGGGACGAGTTGTTACAAACTCTGGTTGCCCGTAATCTTCCTGCTTGTAATCGGCAATGTAGAATTCGGCTAAGATTTTATAAACACCTCTTTCAGGAGGCATCATACCCAATGAGGTTTGCCCCACCATCCGGATGGTACAAGGATCGGCTCTGATACCATTTGTAACATCCTAGACCAATCATACCAGATATTGTCCACTTTATCCACACCTAGACTAGGTTTTTAAAATGTGTTTGATGGAGGAGGTATGTAGTCCCGTATAACGTAACTTTCGTTCCCCTCCCCAACCAATTTGAGATATTACAATCCACCCCCTTAGGAGCCCAACATCCTCGCTGGTGCACTATCTATTTCTCGGCTCTGATACCATTTGTAAAACCCCAAAGCTCAAAGCAACAAGCTAGCCCAGTAACTTCGGATTCAACTTAAAACCATGGTTGAATTTGTTGGTAGCCCACAACTTGAGGCTTATAAGGAGCTCACAAATCCCATCTTCTATCCAGGTGGGACGAGTTGTTAAGTTTAGCTCGTCACTGATGGTGTATCAAACTATGAAAGAGGAAGTGATTGTTTTTCTTGAGATTTGTACACAGACATATAATTGACATCCCCTCTAGAACTGCCTCAGTGGGTTTACACCGGATCGTACATTGTCAAGATGAATCCAAGAGGGATCCTGACTCGTCTATGAAGCATGCCATGTTGCTAAGGCGGCCGCAGGCTTATGGTGTTGATTTTATTTTAAATGGTTAAAATACACATAACCAGCTAGCGGCGAGCAATGAACTCCATCACTAGTTAAAGAGACTTGGTTGGCACCTATAGAGCAAAAGCCACTGGTTACTTATGGCTCTTTGTACACTCCACCCCCCCCCCCCCCCCCCCCCCCCCTTCATTAATTTCACCAATACAGAAGGAAGAGGCAGTTAGTGGTTAACAAAATGGGGTCCAAAGTGGAGGAGAATAATTAGTCTGTTGAAGTTGTTGGTTGGGGGTATTTAGGGAAGTTTAATTCTTCAAGTCGTTATGCTTTTTAGTGAAGTAGGATGGTTAAAGAATTTTAAAAATGTTTTGAGTTTTACTTTGACATGGGTAGTTGAATAATTTACCAATCATGTCTCATCTCCGGTGACTCTAATGTTGCGCCAAACGTACAACAAGCTTTTGTACTATCTTGCCTTGTCCTGTCCTGCGTAGCAAACGCACCCCGGACATAATAGAATATAACAAAACAAGGATAATTGTTCCATGTTTGGCAGGACTTTTATGTAGAACATATAGGAACATAGTGGAACAAAGTGGAACAAGCTTGTTCCACCCCTACCCCTACCCCTACCCCATAGAACAAGGTGGAACAGATTTAGGGGCCGTTTACTCAAATACTTACTTGGTAAGCGCTTACCGGTAGGAGTTAACACTATAATCTATTTTACCAGATGAGATTGTAGTATATTAAAACGGTATCGTATGCAACAATTTACCCGGTAAACTCTTACCCGGGTAAGAGTCCTCACCATCACTTACCGGGTAAGACTCTCTATCGCTATCATCGCTCTTATCGGGTAAGATTTTCAACCCTTGCCATGTGCATCAGGTGAGGAAAGTTACCCGATCCACACTTATCGGGTAGGTATTTAGTAAACGGCGCCTTATTTGTTTTACCAATATAACTTCAAAATAAAAGTTAATTCTCTTCTAAAACGTCAAATAAATATCGCTCTTTACATTTTATTTATTTTATTTTATATTTTTTAAGCTTTCACTTTATTGTCCTTAAAATAATATTTTATATGGTTTCTATATTATGATTAATTTATGTAATTTAATAAATATTAATAATATTAAAATAATATAGAAAGGTATAAAATAAAAATTAAAAACTACATGAACTTTTTATTTTGATGTAATTTTAGGGGCTGTTTACCAAATTTTCTATTAAGTCCTGTATGGATAAATTTGTCTGTCTGGATAAATTTGGCTGTCTGGATAAATTTATGTTGATGTTTACTTTTCTATCTGAATCAACAGTCTGAATAACAGAAATGACCAATTTACCCCTGAAGATTAACTATGGACTGTTTAGTAAACTGTTATTCATCTATTGGAATATGAGATCAATAACAATAAACAACCCCTAATACACTTTGTTCTTCAACAAACAAACAAACACCCCCAAAGTAGCCATCTGTGCGAATACTCTAAACACCCATCTTCACCCCATCCACATACTCTAAACACTTATCTTCACCCCCATCAACATACTTCAAAATCCAAACACCCTCCTTCACCCCATCCACATACTCTAAACACCCATCTTCACCTCATCCACCATTCTTCAAAATCCAACCATTTCCATTGCCACTCCTCCTGTAAATGTAAGGCCGCTTACTCCCTGTTCCACCACCAATTAGGACTTGCAATGCGACCGCTTCAGCAATCGATGCATCCAACCATTTCTTGTTCTGTTTCTTCTTCTCTAGCTCTGAAATAATGGCTGCCGACAGCAATCGATGCATCAAACAAACCCAAAAAAATCAACAGCAAAATCAGCAACAATGGAGCAGCAAAATCAACAGCAATGGAGCAGCAAATCAGCACCAATCGAGCACCAATCGAGCAGCTAGGGTTCTAAAATGGGTTTTGTTGGAGGAGAAGGGAGCGATTCTTGGAGGAGAAGAGAGACGTGGGTTTTGTTGAAGGGGAGCGATTCTTGGAGGAGAAAGAGGCGTGGGTTTTGTTGAAGGGTAGGCATGTCTTTATTTTGGCTTAATGTGGACAACCCTTGGTAGTCATCTGTGCGAATAAGCCCATGTCTGGGCGAATAAGCCCAAAGTAAACACCCTAAAATGGCTGTGCGAATAAGCCCATTTATCCGGTAAGCTCATTAAGCCACAAGTAAACAGGCCCTTAGTCGTCTTGACGAAAACTTTTTAATGATATATATATATATATATATATATATATATTGTGATAAAAAAATATTATTTATGATAATTTAATAATTTACATAACTTGATCAAAATATATAAAATGTATAGACAACTCATTAGTGGTAAATTGATCATATATTATCTGTTTTGTCCTGTCTAGTTCCGTCTTATTTAAACGTTTCTGTTTTGTCCTTATCCTATCTCCTATCCTGTCTGGGGACCAAACGCACCCTTGATGATCCAATCAAACATGTCATGTGATAGTCATTGGGGGATGTTTTCCAGACTTGGTGGTATATTTCAAGACTGTTGGTATCTTATCCGTCTCTAAAAATATCATACTGACTTTACGTTTTGCAGAATCTGATGCCAGAAATCTTCCGGCTTTGAATCTTGACGATAGATACAGAATCGCTGTAGATATAGCCCGTTGCCTAACCTACCTGCACAACGAGCGAGCTATACCTCATGGAAACCTGAAATCCACCAACATCTTGTTGGAACCACCCAACATGAAACATCCCCTTTTAACCGATTACAGCCTCCATCGTTTAATGACATCATCTGGGACAGCTGAGCAGGTTCTCACGGCGGGTGCCCTCGGATACCGCCCGCCCGAGTTTTGCAGCACAAGCAAACCATGCCCATCCCTCAAAAGTGACGTTTATGCATTTGGAGTCATATTATTAGAGCTACTGACCGGAAAATGTTCTGCAGAGATGATTCTGGGCAGCAGTGGGGAGGTGGTGGATCTGACCGAATGGGTAAGATTGCTGTGTGTCGAAAACCGTTTGAATGAGTGTGTTAGCAGCCAGATTGTGAACAGTAACGACCATTCGGTTAAAGTGGCCGAAGCTCTGCTTGAGGTGGCACTTAGATGCATACTTCCAGCTGATGAAAGACCTGATATGAAATCTGTTCTTGATGATCTTACACCGATAGCGGCTGCAGTCTAACGACGAGTTTTTGATTGCCTTTTCTGTGATTGAATATTCTTGTAAGTTATGTTTGTAATTTTTACGCTAAATATAACATGTACTTATGATATGTGTTTGAAAAATGTATATTTCAATATTAAATGTTGTTGTTGGAATAAATGGAGAATCCTTGGGTTTTATTTTGGTTTATAATTTTTCTAGTGTCATTGGGATATTAAATCTAAATTAAATTAGTAATAAAAAAAGTTGAATTAAAGAAATTACACAAAGGAAAAAAAACTATTAAATAGTTAATGTGATACTATTATTGATTTACTTTTTGACAAATTTTTATATCATCTTCAAATTTATATTTTAATTCAAAAATAAAAACATTATCGTTTTCTCAAAATCACATAAAATCGTATTATATCGATAGAGACAAGTAATAAAAACTAAACATTAAAATCGAGATTTATCTCGTTCTATTATACGAATACCCATCTAGTATTAAATCAAAGAGTTTGTTTTATCAAAAATTGTAAATAATACAGCCAGAAGCATTAGGAAAAAAATAAACAGAAAATATTATTTAATTTAAACAATTTAAAAAATGATAAATTACATAAAAATGTTAATATAAATGTTATGTTATTTAAAAATAAACGTACTCTCGTTTTAATACCAAATGCTCTACAAAACAATTATATATTTTAATACCAAATGCCAATTGATGTCTACATGGCAAACAAAATTTGTGTTTTTGAGAAATATGTTTTACAAAACAATTTTTTTTTTCAAACTATAATCTTTTAAACAAGTATTTTAAAGAAACATATTTTTTATAAAGGTTAAATTACAAAAATTTGTTTCTCTAGCTTACCGAAATTTGGATATTATCTATACTACCTTATAAATTGGATTTGATAAATGTCTTAAAAACAACATTAAATGCATAAGACATTACTTCTTTATGCATAAAGTCTTAAAGTACTATTTATTGATGTTTTATGTACAACTTAATAATGCTTCACAAACCATGGATAATACATCAGCCATTTGTATCTATTCGGCTCCCAAGATCATTAATCATATTCTGGCTCCCACGGCTCCCAATATACTAGGAGGGTGTTTGGTTCGCAAAATGAATTCTGAAAGAATGAAATCTGTCGAATGAATTGGAATCTGGAAGGAATTGGAATGAAATGTTGTCAGGTTGATCAAGTGTTCGGTTGGCAGGAATGAATTGTGATATGTCTAATGAATTAGAATTTGTCTGTCTGATTTGCAACAAAATTGGAATGGAATGATGAAAATGACAAAAATATCCTTTCATTGATATTTTTTTAAAAAAATTTCTTTTTCATTTGGAACTCATTCGCTGTCAATTTGTTGCCCTAAATAAAATCGATTTGCAACCCTAATTTCTAAATCAATCTGCTAGATCCACAATCGATCTGCTGATTGTTGCCTTAAATCGATCGATTTGCTCGACTGCTCCTAAAGAGAAGTTATGAACCATGTAGTAATTCTCCATTTCAGAATCTCTGCTTTGCAACGGTCCTTCTTCGAAATTGAGTGCATAATCTCTGGATCTACGGGATTGCCGACCAAAGCTTTTGTTACGTTTGAACCGCCATATGAAGGTCTTCCATCTAGGACCTGCGAAAATCTCTGACCGCTCTCGAATCTTCTTCAAGGCGTCAATCCCTCCCAACCACATAGTTCTTTCAGAGTGGTACTCCGAAGACAACGAATGTACTTTCTACCACTGGTAAGGTATGCATGTCGCTCAACTAAGAGCAACTCAGAGGGAGACGTCGATTCAGCATCTCTGAGAGAGAATTCAATCGCCATCCATTCAAAAGTAGTCGTTCATTCAAGGAGTGGCTAGGTATGGCAACGGGCCGGGTTCGGGCCAGTTTTTAGAGTCCCGTCCCCGAAACCGAAACCGATAACCATAACCATCCCCGTAACCGTCCCGATCCCCATCGGGGATCTTATTGGGGATCCCCATCAGGTCCCCGCGGTTTCCCCGATCCTCTTTGGGGAACCCGTTAAGAGTAGAATAACCGTTACCCATTGGTTTTACCCGAACCTGGACCATAACCCGAACCCGGATCTGAAAAAACACAGATTTATCAAGCAAAAAATTGGAATTCTGCAGGAGCTGAGAAGCAAGATCAAACCTGTTTGGTTGTTTCTTGGACAACCCATTATCGAACAAAAACATAATCAAATAAACCTTGAGAAAAAGACGATGACCATCATATTGAATACATGATCAACCCATGATCAAACAAAAACGTCTTAAATTACAATCTCAAAACAAACTAGAGTTTAGACATAATCCAACTAACTCGAAAGACAATTAGACAAATATTCTAGATTACTAACTTGAAACCGGGGAACTCCCAAACGGCCAAACTCGTCGACCCAAGCTTTCACTTTCCTTAGCTTCCTATAAAATAAAATGTATGTAAAAGACTAAATAAATAAATATACCATAATCATTGTCAATAGTATTGCAATTGTAGTTACCTCTTCCACGTTATAATCATACTCAATAGTACGGCAATATGTTTCGGTCTCATCAGAACAAGTTTCTATAAAGAACACAATATAGTATAAATAAATAAAATGATAGAAATATTAAATATTAAAATAAATAACTATGAAGAATTTATAACTAAAAACAAATATAAGGTTACCTCGTATTTCATTCAATAGTCAACTTTGAGCACACATTAGAGCCTCCAATGTTTTTAGATGAAGTCGACTACGATGCGGAGTTACGAATCTTCCACCCGTACTAAATGCATATTCCAAGGCGACAATAGAAATAGGAACGGCTAATATGTCTCTAGCCATCCTTTGAAGTGTTGGGTATTTAAACCCATTTGTCWTCCACCAAAGTAGCAAATCAAGTTCCATGTCTTTAGGCAAAAGTTTCTCTTTCAAATAATTATCCAATTCTGTTGTAATCCTTAAATCATCATGTTGGTTGGCAATTGAAGCAATATTTGATAAGAGTTTTTTAAATTCAACCCGATGACTTGCTGAAGACCCTAAACTTAAAGAAGACGAACCACTAACACATTCATTGTTGTTTCTTACGCTAGGATCACTAAACTCATATTCTTGAAACAAAGCGTAGACCAATTCCTTGAGCTTTTCAAGTTCAATCGCTGATTTGTCTTGTCCGTACAACACGGGAAAAAGTAACTCCACAAACTTCAATTTATACCGAGGATCTAAAACCGCTGCCATTCCCATGATCCCATGTATAACAGACCAATACTTGTCAAACTTCAAAAGCATCTTTTTAGCCATGTTTCTAATAATTTCACTAGGAGAACATGACTAATCTACCAAAGAATATCTAATTTCACATATCGATGGAAAAAATACATTTGTAGTGGGATACCTTGAACCAGAAAACATTACTGTTACCTAATATTGCCAAAAAAAAAAAAAACTAATGTTACCTCATATCAACAAAACAAAAGTAAAGTTTAAATAAAAATTAGAATTACCTCATAAAATAATTGCAATCTATCACAAATCTCTTTAGCAAATTCCCAATCCCGCTGCGTTGCCAAATTTTTATACTGAGACTCTCATTGGTGTAAGCGTTGAAAGACGTCTTTGTAAATTATAGCAACATTAATCATCAAATAAGTAGAGTTCCATCGAGTCTTGCAATCAAGTGCCAATTTCTTGGTGGATGATTTTCCCAATTGGTGAGTTGCTTCCTCAAACTTTTGATCTCTTTTTGGCAATGTAGTCTAAAAGGCCACACTATCCTTTCAATCTCGTCCCCAAGAACAACCAGTCCATCTTGAACTATCAAATTGAGAACGTATGCACATCATCACATGTGGAACAACCTCCCACCCATCATAAGTGAACTCATAGGAAGCTTGTCCAACAATATGTTGATTATGCATCATTTGTGGTGCAATTATCAACAGTTAGTGTGGACAGTTTTCTATCAAGATTCCAATCCAATAAACAATCATAAAATACATCTGCAAGAACTTCAGATGTATGTGGACAAGGCACATAAATAAACCTCATGATCCAACTTTGCATATTCCAATTTTGATCAACAAAGTGAGCAGTGACCGCCATAAATCTCTTTTTTTGATTGTTAGCCATCCATATATCAGTCGTAATTGCTATCCTACTACTGTTCTTCTCTAACATCTTCAATGTCTTTTGTCTTTCAAAAACATAAATCTTTAGTATGTTACTTTTAATGGTGTCTCGAGACGGAACCTTAAACAAAGGTTGAAGACCCCCCACAAACTTTCGGAACCCATGATGTTCTACTGTTGAAAGTGGATACTCGTGTATGATTATCATATCTGCGAGATTTCTTCTTGATTTATCCGCATTAAAAGTATAATTAAAAACATATGATGAAGTACCATCAACCTTATTTTGCTCCCCTACTAAAATATGTTGGCGTATATCTCGAACAGGTCGCCTTGCACAAGACTTGAAATGATCATGTAAATGCCTTGTACCGTTTTTCAAATTCGCTCCCAATTTCTTTTTGCAATAATTACACTCTGTTTTATCACTACCATCCACTTTTATCTTTATAAAGTGGTTCCATACTATTGATCATGTTTTCCTTTTTCTACCCCCCCCCCCCTCCGACTCAATTTCATCATTATTAGAGACACAATTAGTTTGCGTTTGTGATGATCCAATTGGCTTACTTTGTGAAATAGACTCATTCATTAGTGGATGACTATCAATAGGAGTGATTGTATTGTAATCATTACATTGTATTTCCATATCTGATATCACCTATGTAAAGACAAACAAATTAAATAATACCAAGTTACCAAACCTACTCCATGAATCAACAAATAGATTATGAACAAAATCAAGTTACCAAGTTCTAATATTCACTTAGAATAACTACTGGATACATGAGGATTGAGAAGTGGAATGTATGTAGACCCAAAGAATGGATAATGCATCTAAGATGATAGTAGGCCACAAGCTTCACATACTTTTTAGGGTTATATAGAGTTCTAATGTTCTATAGGATTTATTAATGTTACAATAAATTTATAAACATATTTATAGCAGGCCTAAAATATTTACAGAATGCCTAAAATATTTACAGAAAACCATAAGTTCAAACAAAATCCCTACCATATTATTTAAAGAAGTAGACAAGCCAATACAAATGTTGAATATAATCTAGAGTCCACTTTGGTCTTTGGGAAAGAAAAGAGTTCATAAGAATGTCTAATTTGTAAATTTCAACATTTGGTATCTACTGTCATTTGTAAATTTGAGAGATAGTGGTGTACCTTCAATTTCAGCACCGGACTATCGGAGGCGGAGAGGAGAGAGGGAGAGACAGAGGGGTCGACTCTGTCGTCTGTCGACAGGGACTTAGGAGTCGACTGCATGGGAGAGCGTTAGGACTGCCGGAGAGTGTGCCGACGTGACTGCGTGAGGACTGTCGGCCATCTGCCGACGTGACTACGTGAGGACTGCCGGCCAGCCGGCGTAACTGCTGGAGAGAGCGAGAGGCGATAGATCAAGAGCGAGAGGCGAGTAGGCGACTATGGTGTGTCGTGTGTGGTGCGGTCATATGATGTGGACTGTGGAGACGACGATCAAAGGAAATTCATCAATAGATGTTTGGGCTAGTGTACTCCAGGTCCATTAAGAAGCTTGGGCTTTTATGCTTAAGAATTTATTTGTTTTAGGCTATTGTTTATTAAATTGTAATTTGTAAAATTTTAAATATATTATATATATTATCGGGCTGGTCCGGGTCGGTGAGTACCGTCCCCGTCCCCATCCCCGTCCCCGTCCCCGTCCCCAATATAATCCCCGAAACTCCCCCGATCCCCGTCCCGTCCCCATTAAAAGGTCCCCGAAACCGTCCCGAATTGTTCGGTTTTCGGTTTTCATCGTCGGTTTCGGGTTTTTTTTTGCCATCCTTAAGATAGTTACACAAATTCAAAATAAAACTTTAATAAATTGTATCTATGCATAATTTATTTGTCATCTTAAATTTTAAGTAATATACATCAATAAACAGTATTTTATGCCAGAAAAAATGATTTTTAAGAATTTTTTTCAAATGTTTTATAATTTAGTATAGATATTTTTGTACATACATCAATATTAATATATATTTTGTACATTTTTAATTCATTAATTAACTTGATTATGAAAGAAAGAAAACCTGAGAAGAAATTTCGATTTTGTTTTACGAGTCAAACCACCAACAGCGAAGAAACCGCCAAATGTAACCCTATTTGAACGCGTAAATGGATAACACCAGCTATCTCCTCACTGTAACCCTATTTCATGCCTACCCACCACCTCCTCTCTCTCCCTCTCTATATCTCTTCCATCACCCATCTCCAACTGAAACTCTACACAAATTTCCATTTCTTGGATTCAAATTCTTACAATCTAGAATAATGGCCGATCGTGTTCATCCAGCTGCTCATTTGGATCACTCCAATACGCCTCCTGCCACCGTCAAACAACCAGTCTCTGACGATAAGCCACTCTTACCTCAAGGAACCTACGTCATCCAGATCCCCAAAGATCAAATCTACCGCATCCCTCCCCCCGAAAACGCCCGCAGAATTGAGAAGCTTGCTAATCAAAAACCTCGACGGAGCTGCTGTTGCCGCTGCTTCTGTTGGACAATCGCCACTGCATTCATCCTTCTAATCCTCCTCGCCATCTCCGCTGCCATCTTCTACTTAGTTTTTCGGCCTGAATCTTTGAAATACTCGATCGATAACATCTCCGTAGGAGGCATCAACCTGACTTCGTCAACGCCGGTATCCCCACGGCTGGCTGTTCATATCAAATCAGAAAATCCTAACAATAAGCTTGATGTATACTACATCGGAAAAGGAAGCTCCGTCGACGTGTATTACGCCGACGTTAACTTATGTAACGGCGAGTTACCGACGTTTAAACAGCCTGCGAATAATGTGACGGTGATTCAAACGGCGTTAAAGGGATCGAATATTACGTTTGCGCGTGATGTTCACTCCCGGTTGGTGAGACAAGAGAAGCAACGGAATGTGCCGTTAAAGTTGAAGGTGAAGGCGCCGGTCAAGATTAAAATTGGTGCCGTAAAGACGTGGGAGATAACGCTTACCGTCAAGTGTGACGTGGCTGTTGACTGGTTCACTCAGAAGTCAAAGATCGTGTCAAAAAATTGTGATTACAGGGTGAAGCTGTGGTAAAAAGAGTTGGTAGCTTCGAAAATGGGTTGGATTGTAAAGATACCAAAATATGAAAATACACAAATTTTAATTTTACAAATATATTCATTAAATACGTTTTTACATGCCTTTTTTTTAGTACTAGAAGGATATTTGTGTGATATAGTAAAATACATCTTGATTTTAATATTTTATTTTATTTTTTATTTTAATGGATGTTATAATATAATCTTGCATAATTTTGAAAAAACAATAATGTTTTGATTTTAAAATAAAATATAAATTTAAAGATATAATAAAAAATTTAACAAAAATATATCGATATAGTATCAAATTAACTATTTAAATTTTTTTATTTTTTGTGTAATTTTTTAATTATAATTTAATTTAGGTTCAATGATAAAGTAATTAATATTTAGTTTAATAGAATAATTTTTTAATAAAAATAATAATTAATTATTTTGTTAGAACTCGATAATTATCCTAATTATATTTTAAATTTTTTATATTTTAAAATGAGATGTTTATTTTTTATTTGATTATATTTATCTGTAATTAGTTACACGAATTCAAACATGGAGCTTTAATAAATTGTATTTACACACAATTTACTTGTAATCTTGAATTTTAAATAATATGCATTAATAAACAGTATTTAATGAATAAAAAATGATTTTAAAGAGTTTGTATTAAATGTTTTATAATATAGTATAGATAAGAGTATATTACCCTTTTTAGTCCATCTAGTTTTTTGAAAATCTTTTTTTGTCCTTGTGATTTTGAAATAACGATTTTCATCCTTATGGTTTCTAGATGATTACCTTTTTCATCCTTATGATTTAAACATTATCTATACTATATTATAAAGCATTTGGCTAAAATTCTTAAAAACTCTTAAAACTCTTAAAAACTCTTAAACCAGATTTCATCCATATCCGATTTCATCCTATATCTGAATTCGTATAACTAACTGCAGATAAACACAATCAAATACATGATAAACATCT